AACTGGGAAAGCCTTGAGTGTGTCTACTTTCAGCAGTCTTCTGCGTGGTCTCCCCGCTAATGTCCAGGCCACAAATGAGCAACTAACATGCTGCATCAGAAACATGAAAATCTCTTAATAGAACTGGATTCCTGCATTTCCTCTCCCCCTCTCTTCCCCCAGTGGGGGTGACCTCTGGGAAGATGGCTGTGCCTGAGACAGAACATTCCTGATCTCTCTCCCTGGGGAGAGCATCGCTGAGGCCTAGCCACATCTCAGACGGATTTATTGGAAGGGTACTGCTTGGACACAGGTGGATCCTGTTTGTGCTAATTCTCCTCTTCTTTCTGCCCCTGCTGCAGCCATGAAAGAACTCGGTACCCGCTTCTCATAAATCTTTCTTTCACACCACATCCCGCCTCCCCAAATAGGGATTTCCCACCCCAGGCAGAGCCAGTTTTATAATATTCTCCTTCCTGGTGCCTCTGATGTGGCAGCAAAATATGAGACCACCCACAGAGATGGAAGCTGGGTGGAATCAGGAGCTGCCCCAACCCCCTTCCCAAGGCCAAGGACTTGACTGATTGGCTGGGATATTCAGGGAGCTCATTATGAGAACAAACATATTAGGGCATTAGGAAGACATCTGTGTTAGGGAGACAGAGCCCTAGGCCTAGTGGGGTCCTCCATTTTACCTGAGGTCAAACAGCCGGGTAAATTATAGAGGCAGCAACCCCAGCTCCCGAGTCATCTAGAATTCCAGACCATCCCTACCCTTACCTCTGCCAGACAGAACTGTTCAGAGGCAGCTCAAGCCTGAATGAGCCCCCGGCAAGGAGGCAACAGTCTGTGTGGCCTGTCAGGAGACAGACTTCTGACTCCCGGCCAGGCAGGGGGATGGACCGCCTGACCCTAAGCTTCAGCCTGTGTCTGTCTGCCAGGCCCTGCAGTAAAAATCCCAGAGATGGGCAAAAAGAGCGTTGCTCCTGGAAAGGTGAGGCCTTCGAAGGCCAGAGCGACTCGGGTGGTATTGGTGTAGTGCAAAGTGCTCTGGGTTCCGGGTTAAAAACAAGTCGAGGGCTGCTATTTGTGCAGGTTGGACACTGCACAGTCTGACCCCACATCACAGTTGGTATAGATTTGTAAATTTATTACAACAATGTACCAGTAGATGGCAGTGAAGCGTCTTGAGGACAGGATACCCTTGGCCTATCCCTGGAAGACATTAGTCAGCAAACATTTGTTAAACATGTGCCTTGTGCCCTGGCACTTTGTGCCGGATACTGGAGGTTCAGTGAGCATTGAGATACAGTTTTGGGTGTCCTAGGGGGAGGGGACAGACAATGCATAATTGGAAGACAGAGTGATATATGTTCTAATGGTTAAGTACAGCACCCTGTGGGAACCCAGAGGAGGGACACTTAAGCCAGTTAACGGGGGACTTTCAAAGAAAACTTGATAGAGTAAGTGAGGATCTTGGAACATGAGAAAGAGGCAACCACTCAGAAGAGCAGGAAGTCTCTATCCTAAGCATAGAAAACACATGTGTGAAGGCTCAGAGGCATAAAAACATAGGAAGTGTTTAAGGAATCGTAGAAAGTTGAGTGTGTCTGTATAGTGGGCAGAAAAGCGGAGAAATGGGCCATAGTTAAGCAGGGTCAAGATCATGATGGACTCAAGAGGGTCTGGACCGAATCCCCAAAATCTTAAAGTATGAGCTCTACTCACTGTTGCCACTGAGGGGTTTTTTATGTCTTTGAATAGAGACTTCTCCATCTGGAATACGTGAGGACTGCCCCCTGCCCTACCACCTCTCAGGGTTGACATCAAGGTCAAATTAGAAAAGGGATGTGAGGGGGCTTGAGACCTTATATACCAATGCCGTCTATTATTATTATTATTGTCTATCACTCATTTCACCCATGGGACAGATCAAAGTGAAGTGAACTGTAGTTCTGTTTTGTGACTTCTATAAGGATAAGACTGTTTCATTTATTTGTGGTTCCTTGCTGCACAGCATTCATAGGAACGGAGTAAATACTCAATAGTTCTTTGTTGTTGATTCTATTTCAGGCTCTGGGCTGTATACTTTGGAGCTTACTGTGTGCCAGGAACTGCTCTAAGTGCTTTATATGTCTTACCTCATTTACTCCTCACAATAACACTACGTGATAGCTACTGTGATTATTCCTACTTCCCAGATGTGGAAACTGAGGCATATGGAGGTTGAGTGAGTTATCCAAGGTTGCATAGCCAGTGAGCGATGGAGCTGAGATTATATCCAGTCAGTCCAGCCCTGAATGAGTCCACTGCACCCTACTGCCCTGTCTCATAGAGGGTCAAGTGACTTTTTCACCACAACCTTGGCTGGTAGCTGTTATTACCACTTGCCAAATGAGGAAACTGACCTAGAGCAGTTAAGTACCTTGTCTTAGCACATGTGGTGAGTAAGCAGTAGAGCTAAGATTTTTGCCCATGCTTGTATACTTCCAAATCCATGCTTTTTCCAGTATATCAGTGATTGCATTTGTTAGTTACCAATCTGAAGTCCCAGGCCCACCCATTACCTCTATTAAATCCAAGCTAGAGGGACCCTTGACCTAAGTCCTGCCCTGGACTTTACTAGCTATATCCCTCTTGACAACAAAGGAGAGCCCTGTACCAGAGCCCTGAAAATTGTACTCTGAGGTCCATGCATCCTAGAATTTCCTGCCCAAAGGGACCCAGGCCCAAGTCCAGGGCCTGTGTAGGCCAGTAATCTAGCCCAACCTCCCAAGGCATGGCCAAGGGACAACTGTTGGTGGGGGCGTAGGCAAAGACATGAAGCTTGGCCACGTGGCCTGGGCCATTCACAGCCTTCACAGGAAGCCCCAGTGGTGCAGGACAGAGGAGGGTGGGAGGAGAATGAGGAAGGACAATGGGAATCAAGAGATGGCAATCTCCATGGTGCCATGTTTTGGATAGAACTCCAAAAATTCTGAGAAGTCTGAATTCTGACACTTCCGGGTCACTACAAAGTTGTATTTATCAAGGAAAGCAGACAGACATGTTTTATTTAAATGCTTGCTAGCTTTATTTATCAATTTTAAATGTTAGGCCTTTGATACATAGGCCTCCATTTGTTCTTTTGCCCGTGCCCCACAAAATATTAGAGATGGGCTGATCCCGGTGTCTAGAGTTTGCAGACACTACCTTTAAGGATTCATTTTAAAATTCACAAACTATGTGAAAAGTTTCCCTATGCATGAAGCTGGCTATACACACATTTTTGTCTAAGACCATCCTGGGAGAAAAAAACAAAATCTTGCTTTCAAGTCATACTAACATCTCCTATCTCACTAAAATCCTGCCTACTTAACATCTAAACCTGTGAACATTGTAAGAAAAAGTGGCGTTAATATTAGAGCTGTCAGTCAGTGATACAGTCAGTGTCGGAAAGAGAAGAACTCCACTTGCATCAGCTACATGTAGATAGACTTTGGAAGCAGATAGAATGAACCTTGGTCAGAGAGTTTGTAGAAAGGGTTCTTTCTTTCACAAATGGAAGGTTGAGAAAATAGACGGTGAATCAGTGGGAAAAGGATAGAAGAAACAGAAGATTCTTAGGTCTAATTATTACAATTATTGATTAGAACTCAGCTACACCTAGCCGAATGGAGAGTTGGGCTATGCATTTTTTGGTGCCAAACTCTCTTACTGTGGGAAAAGAGAAGAATGAGTATTGCAATTAAAGAGCTGTCTCTGCCCCAGAGAGGGTGTGTGGAAATGCTCAACACAGCACTCAGATGACTAAGAAGTACTCAGTTCATGAACAATCAATGAGAGCAAATGGAAACTTTTGTTACTTTTGCTTTGTGGGAGGATATCTAAACCCAGGAGCACCTCAATATTTGCTGCTATTTTCCAGGGTTGAGCAAAAACATAGGTGTGGAATTAGAAGGCCAGGTGTGGAATCTCTCTGAGTTTCAGTTTCCTTGTCTATAGGATGAAAATAAGAATACCTGCCTCGTGGTGGTGGTAGTGGTAAGCATTAAGTGAGAAAGATTTTAGGATAAAGCCTGTAGCATGTTTTCTGGCAGAGACTAAGGACTCTGCCATTATTTTTTCATTCAACAAATTCTAATTGAGCTCCTACTGTGTGCGAAGAACTGTGATAGGTATTGGGAATAGAGTGATGAATAAGAGATTGCTCCTGACTTCAAGGAACTGTGTTATAGTTTGTGGACATAGACAGTTAAACGCAGTTACTAACTGTAATTGTAATTAGTGCTATGAAAGAAAAGTAGAGTATGACAAGGGAATCTGTATGAGAAGAGAGATGAAGGAGGCCAAGGGTAGAGGACTTTTAGAGACAAATGGACAAGCGAATGGATTTGAGAAATAATGAGAACATAGAATCAATGGAAATTGGGAGAAAGAGATGACGAGAATGATGTCTGTGTTTCTGCCTTGATTAATGAGTAGATGGGATGCCATTTACTGATAATGGGGAAACAGAAGCAGAAGTAGAGGAAAGATGGTGGGTGAGTGGTTGGGTGGATGGATGGACGGACAGATGGACCAAGGAACAGATAAGATCTGCTCACTGGACAGATGGACAAATAGAGAAATGAGTAGATGAATAGATCAATTTAACATGTCCCTTGTGGAGTTTATAGGGTGTAACTCAAAAGAATTCTGTACTATTTATTTATGTAGGACTCTTTATCTCATTTGATCCTTAAAATAACCCTTAGAAATATCTCACGCAGGTATTCATTTCTTCCTTTTAGAGAGGATAAATGGAGACACGAGGAGGTCAAACAACTTGACAGAAGAGAACCTGAGTCTCTAGTCTTCCTGTCCAACACAGTTTCCCCCGCTCACCCCCGACACAGTACATATAAATAATGAGAAAACCGTCAGTCAAGGCGAGAGGAGTTTGGTAGAGAATGTGTCTGCATGTGCACCCTTTGGGAGAAGGGAGAAAAGAGTAAAGCAGTCTGTATCCTGACTCAGAGATTTCTCCCTCTCCTTCACAGGGCCAAGTATTTCCATGGGAAGAAGGTGAATGGAGAGGTGGAGATCCGAGTGGAGCAGGTAGGTTGGAGCGGAGTCTTTAGCACCACCACCCTGACATTTTCTGTAGCTGGGGCCATTTCAAGGAGCAGCCTTGGTCCCCATTCTTATGTGGCTATCATGAGCCAAGATTTTCAGAAAAATTCCGACTCATACCTGGGAGTCTCATTAAATTCTAGAATTATTTGGTCCAGTAGTTTTCAACATTTTTGTTTTAACAGCAGAGCCTTCCTTCAAAGGAAATCTCAAGTAGGAGCCAGTTCTACAAAATAGAGACAAGTAGAGCTTCTCTGATGGAAATGGGCATGGGGAGCCCCAAAGTCCATCTGCTCCATTCAGTTCCATTTCGCCGCATCCCTGCCATGGTCTCTGAGGCATGGACCCACTTGGGCTAAGGAACACAGTGGATTTGAGTCCTGGCTCCCTCAGTTTTGGGAATTGGGCAGGTGAATTAATCTCTGTGTGCCCCATTTCCCTTGTATCATTGTTGTCGGGGCTAAATTATTTAAAGCCTTACAGGAGATTAGAATAGCAGGGACTTGCTCAAGGCTGCATGAGAAGTCAGTGGCAGAATTCGGACTAGAACCTATGCTCTCCAGATCTCAGGCTCCCCCATCCACTCGGTGAACATTCGTTGGGGACCTACTCAATGCCAAGCACCGTGCTTGTCTTTAGATGAGTATAGCAGAGCATGGGCTCTGGAGCCAGATTCTAGGTTCAAATACCAACCAACTGTGTGACTTAGGTTGAGTAATACTTAAGCCCTCTGTGGCTTAGTTTCTTCATGCATGTAATTGGAGTAATAATAGCATCAACTCCATAGGGTGGCTCTGAGGATCAAATGAGTTAGTCCATGCAAAGTACTTAGAACAGTGCCTGGCACATACCAGCACTTGGTAAACTTTACGCATTTATCGTCATCATCATCAAAGGCAAACAATTAATAAGATAGAAAAGGTCCCTGCTATAAGATGAACTCAGAAAAGCGCAATAAAAAAATAGAGGGATGTGACTTTTCCAGCACTCTGAGTTTGGTGTGTTGAAGATACAGAAAGCCTTTCTGAGCATCAAATTTGAGTTGGCTTAGTATGAAAACACCTACAGATTGAATTTCAATTTCATCTTGCGGCTTTCAAGTCAGTCCAATGTCTCCTGGTTTTCCTTCCATTGCAGAAAGCGGGTTATTTTTGTTCACTTAACAAATATTTGTCAAATGTCTGAATCCTGGCTCCCTCATACTATGCTAGTTAGCCAACGCGAGGAACAAGGATATAGAATCAGAGGCTCTGTCCCAAAAAGTATGTGGTCTAGGAAGGAAGGCAAGGTAAGTCTTCACAGAAACTCAACACAGGTGGAGTCCAGGAAAGAGAGGTCCAAATTTAGTGCTGTGGGCAGCAGGGCCACACTGACTGAGAGAGTCAGAAGTGGCTTCGAGGAGAGGGTGGTATTTGAAACAGATCTTGAAGGATGGATAGGATTTCAACAAGCGGAGATGGCAACACGAAGAACATATGAGCAGAGGTAAGGAGACCGGAAGTACAGGGTGAGAAACGGTGGGAAGTCCAGATTGGTTGACTCAAAAACAGGACACCTCATCTTCCCCTGATCCCAATCTGCTCGTCCTCCCGAGCTCCTGTCTCAGTGAAGAGTGCCACCATCTACCTTCCACCATAGCCAGAAACCCAAACCGTCTCCTGCATGCCCACCTTTCTGCTGCTGTGCTCAATTACCAGGTCCTTTTGACTCCACATCCCATATCTCTCAAGTCCATCCACTTCTCTCCTTTCCCATTGCCTAGATCCTTGGTTGACCCATCATCAACTCTCATCCAACCTTCCTAATCAGTAGCCTCATAACTCCATCTTTTCACCCACTTCCAATTTATTTTTTATACTAAAGCCAGAGTCATCTTTCTGAAAAAGCAAATTAGATTCTCAAGTGTTAACTTTAAAACCCCTTTCTCAAAGACTCCTTCTCTGAGCCTTCACACCCTGATCTCAATCAGGTGACCTGGGTGTTCCCTTTCATAGCACCCCAGCCTTTCTTTCCTATCCCTTATCTGAGTTTTCAACCACATATTTAGGGATTATTTTCATGCGGGTAGAGACCATGGCTGTCTGGATCCCACTCTGTTAAGTAGCACAGGGCCTGGCACATACTAGAACTGAAGCAAATACTTGCGGAAGGAAAACTTACAGATTCCACAGATTCCAGGCTGCTTATCAGTTTCCAGGGAAGACAAATCACTGCTCCTTCACCTCCCCTCAAAAATCTGAGTTTTCCATAAACCACCTGATAAATGCTCAGTTGCCAGCTTAGCCAGCCCTGTCTCAACTCGCTTGTGAAAACCTCAGAGGCATGTTTTAATTTTTACCCCTTTTATCCCATTGCCACCCTTGACCCAACTTATGGGTACAAAATCTATGAGCAGGACCATCAGAGAGAATTGCCCTGAGAAACTCACGCAGTGACTCTGGGGACACTCAGCCAGTCTATGAGGGCTACGATCATACTGGAAAACATTGGCTGCTTTAGAGTCATCCTGATTTTCTGCCATCCCCCTCCATGGAAGCCAGAAGGCAAATTAGCCAAGGGACCAATTAGCAGAGCATTTGGACATTTCCCCTTGGAAGACATGCCTTCTTAAAACCCATCTTAGAGTCTGAATCAGTTGTCTTTTCCCAGCTGGATCAATTGGTGGGTCTCAAATGCATCCTCTAGCGCTTTTGAGAAGTCTTAGGATGGAAGCCACTGTTTAGTCTGAGCTGGCCTCACATTTTGGAAGTCTGTCTCCCAACTAAGGGCCAAATTAACCAGATAATTGCGCTGTCTGGGTCTTGCTGGACAGAGCAAATGAGTTAGTTGTGGTTGGCCTAGAGGAAGCCTCCACTCCTTCTCTCCACCCTTTCCCCCTCCAGTTCAAAAACTGCTTGCCTCAGCTCTTGCAGAGCCAGAAATCAAGACACCCTGGGGAGGCCAGTTGGGGGGACTGCATCATGTTGCATTCCATTACCCAGAATGCCCTACTGGCTCAGCGGGGCCTCACAGCAGTGTCTAGTAGGGCCTGAGAGGTTCCAGCCAGAGTGGTTGGCATGTCAAGTTCTCCTCTGTTTATATTTGAGGCAAAGGGTCTTTTTCTCCACAGGTGCAAGTCACCCCTCTGTGGGATTCTGTGAAGTTGACGAATGGATTAATATCAAGTAGACTCACAGTTCTGAGAGACTAACGGACTAGGACTTGGAACAGGCCTTGGGCTTCATTTGTTAATTAAAAAAAAAAAAAGGCTGAAATGACCAAATCTTTCCTTGGTGTTAATAGAGGTACCAAAGCATAAGGAATGACAATGCCGCATTCCAGCAGATAGAGAGAAAGGCCAGAGAAGGTGAAGACCCTGCCCTTGAATCCAATGAAGGAAGCTGGACAAGACACAGATTTCCATGTGAATGCCAGCGACTCCCTCTGAGTCCTGTCCTTGTGTGATGCTGGAGTTGGGATAGGGTTAGGTAGTTGTGTGTGGATCCCAGATTAGGCTGCTGGTTGGAGTTCTGTTCATCTTATGCCCTTTATGCTTCCTCAACTTAAATGTCTTCTAGAAGTGAAGGTAGGATTTTTCCCTCAAAATACTTTAAACAGTCAAGACCGTCACATAGACTTATCCCCGGCAGGAGCCTGTTTTTGAACCTAGGCGGTCTGACTTCAGAGCCCTCCTCTTTTCCACTACGTTTTTCTGCCAGTGTTGGAAACATCAAAAACAATGATCAAATGTGTCCAATGTATCATAGTACATTATGCATGCATTAAATCACTTTATTGTACAATCTTATTTCAGCCTCACCATAGTCCTATGAGATGGGTACTATGACTCTCCCCACAGTGGATGAAGAAACTGAGGCTCAGAAAGATTAAACGCCCTGCCTGAAATTTGTTTAGAGGAGGGATTTGAACCCAGGTTTCATATGCACATGTGCTGAACCACCACCCTAAGTTATTTCATTGGGACTAGATTTCAGGCTAATGGTACAATCTTACAAGAAGATGGGTTTTGACTTGGTATAAACAAAACTGTTAAGCTGTGCTGACTAATGATCAAAGGGCCGTGCCCCTTTGGTAGGTAGGGGGCCCCCTGTGCTGGAAATGCTTCAGCAGAAACTGGATGTTTAATTTAGGGAATATTTCATAGGAAATTTATGTAGCTAATAGGAAATAATTTTTGTTTTTTCTTTTATTTGTTTTTACATAGTCAAAAATTGAAAAGGTGAGAAACGGTATCTGGTGAAAAGTCTACCTCCAACTGTGTCCCCACTAATCTAATTACTAGTTCATTTAACCATTATCACTATTCCTTAGATAACTTTCAGAGAGATTTTAAATGAAATGATCAAATACACATATATGTTTATTTTTCCTTGTTTTTCATAAACGGTACTTGGTCAGAAAAAAACATAAGTCACCATAGGTATTTCAAAGGAGGCTTTAATAAGACGAGTTGATCTCAAATGGATCAAAAGGGGACATCATATTACCCACAGTCACAACAATCCTAATTCATTGCTGTCACTGCCACTGCTGCTGTGGGAACTGCCACCATTGCCGGTGGAGATCCATGAGCCTGCATTCCCACTGATGCTGCAGGAACTGCCACCAACCTGCTGAATCTGTTGTTGCTGTTGGTGAAATTTCTGTAGCTACCACCAGAAGCAGAATGGTTGCTAACATCTTCCTAACTTCAACTCCCATTGGTAGAAATCAACCTGGAACCACGTGGCAAAAGAATCAGGGGCCTGAGAGGTTCCAGCCAGAGTGGTTGGCATGTCAAGTTCTCCTCTGTTTATATTTGAGGCAAAGGGTCTTTTTCTCCACAGGTGCAAGTCACCCCTCTGTGGGATTCTGTGAAGTTGACGAATGGATTAATATCAAGTAGACTCACAGTTCTGAGAGACTAACGGACTAGGACTTGGAACAGGCCTTGGGCTTCATTTGTTAATTAAAAAAAAAAAAGGCTGAAATGACCAAATCTTTCC